ATCGGCTAGTAGCGAGTGCTGGTTGTCCCAGAGTAGCTCTAACCTGAAGAAACTCACCCTTGGCTTGCAATGGAACTGTATTGATGACACCCTTGGTTATGAAAACCGCATTGCCAAACCCATCCAGCCAACAATGAGGAACCTGTACCAAACCCTGGCTAGTCAGTTTGACCCCCTGGGCTTTATTATACCCTTTACCACTAGGGCTAAAACCTTGATTCAGGATCTCTGGAAACAAAACCTAAGCTGGGATGACCCTATTGAACCCTAATTACTTGCGTGATAAATGGTCCACATGGGTTGCAGAACTCTCCCATATCACTAAAGTACAATTCGCCAGACCATACGCTCCTGCAATGCCAGATACTCCCTCCACCATTAGAGAGTTACATGTATTCTGTGACGCCTCAGAAAGGGCATATGGCTCGGTGGCTTATCTTCAAATCCGGAATGAGGAGAAGGTCCATGTATCCTTTGTCCTAGCTCGCTCTAGAGTGGCTCCTCGCAAATGTGTGCTGCACACTCTGGCGCTCAGATGTCAAAGGTCATACAAGCTGAGCTTACTATCCCCATACACCAAGTTACACATTGGACCGACTCAACTACTGTGCTGCATTGGCTAAAGTCAGAATCTTGCCGGTACAAAGTGTTTGTAGGGTCGAGAGTAGCTGAAATTCAGACACTGACAGATGTTTCCAGGTGGAGGTATGTTGACTCCAACAGAAACCCCGCCGACCACATTACCAGGGGGCTTACTTTAGAAGAAATAGCAGGCCCTCACCAGTGGAGATATGGACCATCATTCTTGACTCAACCACTGGAAGTATGGCCAGTGACACCCAGTACAAAGTCTGAGCCTGATTTGAATAAAGTCAAACGAGCATCGTTCATTGCAGCCATTAGTGTTACCCCAAGCCCAGTACCAGCAGACCTCAGTCAGTTCAGAACTTGGAAGGAACTTCTTCAAGCAACTGTCATGTCTTGTGATGGGGCGGCTGACGCTGAAACTACAAACGATGCCTCAAAGTATATACAGGCGGAAAAGCTTCTCTTAGCGCATGCTCAGCTTGATTCGTTCCCAGGGGAATTCAGAGCCCTGAAAGCTGGACAGCCCATTCCGACAGATAGCCGTTTTCGACAAAGATGCTGAGTTGATAAGAGTGGGTGGACGTCTTCGTCATGTTGAAACCCTGTCATTTGATACCATTCACCCGATCGTTCTAGACTCTCACCATCAAGTCACAAAGTTACTGATCCAAGACATAGATCAACAACTCCATCACCCTGGTGCGGAACGAGTACTAGCAGAGCTAAGGCGTCGATATTGGGTGCTTAGAGGTCGTGAAGCTGTGCGCAAACACCAGCATTTCTGTCAGAAGCCTGCTGAAATACCCTGTGATAATGGGACTAACTTTGTAGGAGGGGACCACGAGTTAAGAGACTCATTTAAGCAAATGGCCCCAAAGCTTCAGACACTGCTAGCTCAACAGCAGATTCAGTTTCGATTTAACCCACCAAACGCACCTCACTTTGGTGGAACCTGGGAGCGAGAAGTGAAATCGGTTAAGGCTGCCTTGCAAGTCATTCTTCGGGAACAATGTGTACCAGAGTCTTTCCTACAAACCTTACTAGTGGAGGTGGAGGGCATACTAAATTCCAAACCCTTGGGCTACGTCTCATCTGACATTGCCAACCCAGATCCTGTAACCCCAAATATGATACTAATGGGACGTCATGATGCGTCCTTGCCCCAAGTCCTTTATGACTCTAACGAGATGCTGGGTAAACGCAGGTGGCGACACAGTCAAGTACTGGCTGACCAATTCTGGGCTGCATTTGTCCATCGCTACTTACCAGAACTACAGGGCAGGCAAAAATGGAGAACAGATGGCAAAGGCCTGGTAGTCGGCCAAGCTGTACTACTAATAGATAATCAACTACCGCGTGCGCTGTGGCCTGTGGGAACTGTTACAGAGACCTATGCAGGGGCGGACGGGAGGATTCGAACTGCCAAAGTCCAAGTCAAGGATAAGTCGTATCTGAGGCCTGTTGTAAAACTCATTCAAATTCCGGAAATGAAGAATAAAGACACAGAAACCAAAGATGGCCTTTCTTAAGGGTTACAATTATCTTTATCGATAATTGGGGGTGGCTATGTCAGAAAGCCCACTAGGAACCGAAAATATTCAGCGAGTTTCACATGGACTGTTATTAGCGGTGCAACTTCCCATACTCGGATGCCGGGCCAGATCCCAATGCGCTCCTTTTCTTCCGACATGTTGTGCGTTCATGCACCAAATGTGAGTAATAATGTGACAATCACTGAGTGAACATTTACACCTTTCATATAAGAGACTGTTTGTTATATATGACAACGATCGCGGGGAAATATCGATCACGCTAGCCGCGAGAGAATACAGTGTGCAGTATATGCTCCGTCATTCCGCCTATTGCCTTTTACTGCCATTTAACTAATTAGTTTGTTTGTTATAACATATATATATATATATATATATATATGTTCCTTTATTATCACTGTTTAATCATTGTATATATGGTGTGATTTCTCATTGAAGTGAATGTGTAAAGATACATTATATTTATACTGTATTCCTCATCTGTTCTACAGATCACAACATACTTGAAGGAAAGTTTGATGGCACTGACTGCTTAATAATTGTTATTAAAGAAGTTTGAAGAGGATTACTTCTTTGTTGCCTGATTCTCTGACCGGAATCAATGTCCATATTTGTCCGCCAGTAGAACTGTAAATTTACTCAGTTGACAGAGGCATAGTACCCCGTCACAAAGACAAACTTTGAGACTTCTCATTATAAAAATAAACTATTAAGAACATTATAAATAAATTTGCATTATTTATATTTTAACATTATTATAATTATTTATTATAATATTATATTAAATTACACCATTCTTATGGCATTTAACGTTATTATAAATAACATAACAATAAATTACATTGTGAATAAATATTAACATACATATTACAATAAATGTAAACGTGCATTATTATTACAAAATCAAACTAAAACTTCTGGAGGTTATTAATAACTGCACTGGGGCAGCACAGTGGCTCAGACTGTCACCTCACAGCAAAAAGGTTGCTGGTATGAGTCCCGGCTGGGTCCGCGGGCATTTCTGTGTGGAGTTTGTAGCCTGTTTTTTTATGAAAAAATATTAATTTTTATTTTATTTCTATTTATCACAAGAAAATAACTCGAATAAATAGTTGTAATACTGAAAAAAAAATGTAGACACTGTGTGCATTTGATTAATTTGTTTCTACATGCAATTTCAGATAAGTGCCTCGGGGACATGACAGATAGCTTTGGTTTGTGACAGAAATGTTGAAAGTTCTCCCAGTTCTTCTTCTTTCCCTCCACACATTTATGCATGTGTAAATAATGCTCCACAGTTCCACAATCATTCCTCTGACTGTTAAATCACATGTGAATCTCTTATAACCTCATTCACTTACTGCTTCAAGAAATCCAAGAGGCGAGGGCTGGGACAAATGCAGTGTTTAGTTTACATCCACTAACATGGCCAGCAGGCCTCACTGATCTGGGCTACATCACTGTGTAAATGTTTTCTGCGTTGGGTTGAATTTATTTGAACCCTTTCAGAAACACATGGAGTCAGATGTGCTTCAGGCATTAGTGATGAGCCAGTCTAGTTCAAACACAATGACTCTGTGCTAGAAGACTGAGTACCTGTCTTACTTCTGTCCTCACAGATAAAACTGAACAGAACGCCACAAACTTAAAGCAGGACTTCCAGGACTGAGAGAAATAAACAACTATTAACTGAAGTGAAAGCACAAGCGGCCGGCACTTCTGTTGACATACAGTACATGAAGGGCTCTGTCCGTGAGAGCAATAGTCTTGACCCCCCAGTTCTGTGTTCTGCTCAGTTGCTTCAGCTCTTCTGTGACTTTTCTTGACGTCTCGGCATCATTCTACACTTTTTGTACAAGCGAGCTTCCCCTGAAAGAAGATTTTATTAGTTTTTATTTAAGGCCTTGGTGCTTTCTGTCCAGCCAATATGTGTCCAGATGCAGTTTAATGTGCATGTCGATTGAACTCCTTCAGCATGAAAGCCATCAAAATAAGCGGAGTCAGCAGTGTGCTCTTCCTTCTGAAACATTACTCCATGCTCTTTAAGTTTAATGTGTTTATAATCTATTTATTTCATGAAAATGTTATTTATGAAAGTGTTTTTACCTTTTCTGTTAGATTAATACGATGAGCTTTAAACACTGACAGTTCTGAGCTTTATAATGGCAACAAACTGCAACCAACAGTTCTGGTTCAGGGTTTAGTGGCGGCTTTCTGAAGTGGAGCGAGGAAAATGTCCAGAACACATCAGCTGACACCCGATCTCAATTCAGTTTAGAAACTCAAGAAATGTACAGTCGCCTCAGAGATCTAATGAAGCTGGAATATATTTATTATTCATTCATTCATTTTCTGTTCGGCTTAGTCCGTTTATTAATCAGGGGTCACCACAGCAGAATGAAACGCAGATGCCCTTCCAGATGCAACCCATCTCTGGGAAACATCCAAACACACTCATACACTACTGACAATTTAGCCTACCCAATTCACCTGTACCTGTAATATTTGGACTGTGGGGGAAACCGGAGCATCCTGAGGAAACCCATGCAAACGCAGGGAGAACACACAGAAACGCCAACTGACCCTGCCGAGGCTCAAACCAGCGAGCTTCTTGCTGTGAGGTGACAGCACTACCTACTGCGCCACTGCGTCACCTTATCAGAAATCTTATATGCATAAATGTAAATATATTAAATGTGACCTCCTGTACTTTTATTTTGGCATCTCAGCGCTCACCCTGGGGCTGATGTGTTCAGACTCAGCATCAGTTGAACATCTTTAATCAGCCGCAGGTCATCTAGAGGAGCTTTAACACATGAGCTGTTCACACTTCTGTATGGTCTATATCAGAAAGAGGGACGG